AACATTCGGGTCCTAAAATAGTTAACGTTGTAAGCAGAAAAACCAGTAAGAAGTCCTTCGCATTTCGAAAAAACTTTAGCTTCCGAGAAGGGCGGATTGATCCCGATATTTCCTCTAAAAGAAAACGATGAAACCCAGCTGAACTCCATTTCCACAATTCCTCGAGAGGCACAATAAACAATCACAAGTAACCTTTCTCAATCTAATTCATCTCGCCATTCCTACAGTTTTCTACCTTCCTCCCCACAGAAAACGGAGAACAAACGAAAGATAGGGTTAGGGATGGAGGGCATTACAGGGAGGTGCGTATGGAGGGTGCTGCGGCCGATCCTGCGCGGGACCGGGGCCGTACAGCGCGACCAGCGGCGGAACCCGACCGTCGTCGGCGTAGAAGTTTCTTGCAATCACAAGCGAGGAAGCCAAGAAGAATCAGATTGAATCGGACAAGGAGGAATCGGACAAAGAGCAGCTAACGTAAGCGGCGCGCAAACAAGTCCGATGATTGCTTCTGTACGAGGAGCGGATACCTGAAAGGCGACGACTCCTGCTGTTGCTGCTGCTGCTGCTGCTGAGGTTGGTACAGAGGTTGAAAGAGGTTCTGAGGCATGGCCATGGCTGCTTCAGTTTGAGAGAGAGAGAGAGAGACAGGGGCTTCTGCTTCTGGGGAAGAGGGGAGCTTGGAGGAAAATTTCTTCATAATTGTTATTTGACCCAGAAGTTGTTTATATTTGTACATTTGGCACCTTATTTGGTTGCAAGTTTTAAATGAGTCCCTGGGCCATTCTTATGGAACCCGTGGGCCCTGTGAAGTAAAGCCCACTTCTGGGGCTCAGTCTCTTGTACCGAGAGTGCATGCTTTGCAAAAATGAAAAATTCGAAAAATATTTTTTTAATAATGATCACTTGTACCGATTATAAAACTGAATAAACGAAAAATATGTTTAGTGTATATAAATTATCGCCGGTGATGAAAACATTCTTTCCAGCTAAACAAACGGAACATAAGTTTATGTCGTAAAACTATATATTTCCTTTTAACTTAATTAATCATAAAGAGTGATTAGTAGATAATCTAGTTCCGAATGTTGGTTAATCAGTCTCAAGTTTCACTAAAAAGAACAAACGATCCTAAAGAGTGGACCTGTCTTTAATGTACAGGTGACAATAGTCGAAAACTTTTATAAAAAATTACATAAGGATTCCCTTTCATTTTATGTTTTTTTTTTCAATTAAATCGAAAAATTGTGAATTATTAACTCTTATGTACTTCAAAGTTTGTATAATTTGTGTTTTTTAAAAGGTAATTATTGCATAGAGAAGAATGTGACATACAAATAATATGAACTTTGATGCGGCATTGACCAGAATTTTTTTTTTTTGATGTGGTAGAAACTCTCTTGGGATGTGTTTATTCCACGAAAAATAAATAATCAGAAACATATTTTTCTAAAAATATCTCTTATATCGCTTACAAAAATGAATGAAAGAAAAATATTTTTGTCATCCACGAAAATGTTTAGACATAAATTGTTGTCGATAATGAAAACATTTTTCATTGATTAATTATTTCAAGTGATACGGACGATCAATTTTAGAAAAATATTTTTAAAAATAGTTCATTTTTCGCGAAACAAACGGAGCCTTATTCTTGCCCCGTTATACGGGGTGAGGGTGTACACACTTAATATACATGAGAATCTCTAGAATTTAGCATCTTGTTGCATAAAATCCAAGTCACAGTCTCATACCCCTAATATGGTATCCGAGTCTCGTATCTTGCAATTATGATTACACTATTGTGTTATGTTTTGACCATCTTGTTTCCTATGGTAGACTAGATGTGGACGAACACTTGTAATTTTAGTGTCACTATCTACATCGCACGATCGTGTATGTGGGACCAGCTCATGTTATATGACCCTTAGAGAGATCACCACCGCGTGAATACGATCAAATCAATCTCATTAAGCAAGTATTTGAACTTTGAAAATCTCAAATTGCATCATAAGAAATCACTAGGGATGTCAATTGGTCGGGTCTGGTCAAGTTTCAATGCTACCCGACCCGACCCGACCCAAACCGTAAGGGATATATGTCCTCTTCCCGACCTAAATTGTATATGACCCAAGTCGAAAACACAGGTCGGGTTTTCAGGTTTGTGTGTGTGTGTTTTTTTTTGGGCATGGATTTCATAACCAAAAAATCATGGCTTTCCATTTTCTTTCACAAGAGTATTTGCAGGGAAAATAGAAGTAAAAGATCCAGCTTCTTCAAACCGACCATTCCTATCAATAGAAATATTCTCACTGAAAATTGACACACAATTGTCTAACCTGAGCACTTGACTGAAAATTAACTAATAAACAACCTACTGCCAATCGCTACGCGCATTTGCCAAATACCAAACCCGTAACTTCAAGTCAGAAAGAGAATTCCAGGAAATGCAAAGAAAATTTAAAGGAGATCAAAGTAAGAAGGCAGATTTCATCGGGAATTTTCACAAACACTTACGACACTGCATATACTCATCTCATTCTTAGCCGACATAGCATATATTCGGGGAAATTGGGCCAAGCGTAGCAAGAAAACAAAATCTGAGCAAAAACAATCAATGCAAGCTCGAGCTGGGTTTTCCCCCAACGCACCACTCACGCGTAGCCTGGAGACGGCATCCTCGTTGCTGACCATGTCGACGGCCTCGTTCGGCTGGTACTTCTCCACCCACGGCATGTCACAGTGGCTTGCTCCGGCACCAGATGAAGAAGAGGACGAAGCCATTTTCGCGTCGGTTCCAGTTTGCTTATTTCTTTCTTTTCCCAGATCTGAACGATATTCATTTAGCTTCGGTTCAGTTTGGGTCATTAGAGTAACCGGACCGAGCCGAAATGTCAAAATACCCAGTTCTTTTCAAGTTTCCTGAACTGGTAAAAGACCCAACCCGAAAAGACACTAAAAATTCAGGTCGGGTTGGGTCGGGTCAGTTCGAGCCAGGCCGGTGTGGGCTTTTTTGACGCCCTTAGAAATCATGGAATAATAATATTTAGTTTTGAACTTTATAATAAAATGTTCTTGATTACAATTTTGTCTAATGATAGTATCATACAAGCGCTGCATGAAGGTATGTATGTTTGAAGGTATTTTTGTCTTTACTTCATTTGTCCCTAGCGATAAAATGTTGAAGCTTCGTCCGTCATTCTCGTTAAGTACAACATGCATAGTCTATTGTGCAATACTAAATGCTGAGCATGTTTGAAGCTAGAAACCTAAAAAAAAGGTGAGGGCCATAATAATTTATATGAATAATGTGGCATTAATTCACTTACTTTTTCATGTTAGACCATATTTCATTTTTACCTTCATTGTAATGGGGGCATGTACACTTTAGAGAATTTATTCATCCAAATTTAAGAAATACTAGTTAGATGTGTCTCATTCGATAGAGCGGCATTTGATTGATCGATAAACTATTTAGTTCTCATTGTTTGTTTCACGTGACTTTCACTTTAAATTTTTGATTTATTTCAGAGGGTGAAAATAGATTTTTAAAAATTTTAAACACACATATATAGATATATATACACACTTAAAAATTCTCGTATCTAAGCAATTAATCACCTCGATTTTGTCGTTTTTCCCTTTTGCAAATCAAATTATAATGTTTGCTTCATGAAAATGACTAGGCCATCAAACGATTCGATCTATCCACAGTTATGTCTCAATCTTGAAACTCTGTCATTGCTTTCGAGAAATTACCAAAAAAATTCTAAACATATTCTACTTGTAACAATTCAGTCTTAAACTTTTCAATTGTACAATTTACAAATTTAGTCCTAAACTTTTTAATTGAACAATTTACCAATTTAGTCTTAATTTTTTCAAATGTGCCAATTTAATCCTAAACGTTTTAACCTTTAATCAATTTAGTCAACCTGACCAATTTTGACCGGAAAACGCTGACGCGGTGATCTAGTCAGCACCAACCGTCCTATATTGCATGGCCAATACTAACATAGAATATATTTTACATTAGTGTGGGCGTGCCACATAGTGATGGTGCTAATTAGATCACCATGTTGGCATTTAAAAAGTGTATATTTTAAATTAGCACAATGAAAAAGATTTATGATTGAATTGACAAATTGTCAAAAGGTTTAGGACTAAATTGATCAAATTAAAAGGTTTATGACTGAATTGGCACAATTGCAATTGGCTTAGGATTTTTTTGATAATTTGCCTCATATTCAACTATCATCACCATTTTAACAAAAATAAAAAAAAACTATGATCACCATTTTTAATTTTATTTCTTTAAAGTGACGGCCGGCCACCAGCTATATCCGAAGAGGGTCGGGCAAGGCCACCTTTGAAAGCCACAGGTTGGCTTCGCCTCGCCTGGGTGACCCTCGCCGGCCATAGGTAAGGCTAACCCTCACAAAATGTAGGTGAGGATCGCCTCGCCCACTGCCAATGAGGACCTGGGTAGTCGCCAGCAACCGATGAGGGCTTGTAGGCCCTCCGCTCATATCTAATTTTCTAATTAACTTAGGTTAAAAATCCAAAATTTTTCTATATAAAAGACAAACTTATAAAAGGGAAAAAAAAGGCTAAAACCAAAAAAAAAAAAAATTCGGCCGTCCGCCGTATCTTTTTTTTGTTTAATTTTCTCCCTTTTAATCTAATTTAATTAAAATTTATGTTAAAATTATCTTTGGACGAAAATGGCTTTGACCGGTCGGAATATTTAGCCGGTTGGTGAGGTCAAACCCTTATTTGAAATTGGCATGACCACTTCAAGCCTTTATTTAAAACTGTCATAGCCACTTCAGGCCGTTTTTTGAAATAAAATCCATTTCAAACCCTTATATGAGAAATTGAGGGCATTTCATGCTCTAATTTGAAATTTTCCCTCTTTTGCATCGCACGAGCTTGATCCTAGTTAATTATTACGATGACAATTAATCTCCTCGGACGACGTCGTTTATCCACCCTCTCATCTCATCTCGTCTCCTCTCATCTCCTCTTTCATATTCTTAAACCCTACCAAAATCCTCGGTCGCCCAAACGACTCGCCACGCACGAACATCCAGCCAGTTCACCGTCGAACGACGTCCCGCAGCTCTGCAACACCCGAAAATTTTGATGGAGGTGGTGATCGCCTCCTCCTCCGTCGGCGACGCCGGCATCGGCTGCTGGGACCTCCGCACCGGCGCCGAGCAGCTCCGCCACAAGTCCTGCGCCTCCACCGCCCGCGGCCTCACCTCCGTCGGCCACCGCTTCGTCGCCTCCTCCCAGCTCCGCGACCCCTCCGCCACTTCCGGCACCGTCTTCTACTGGTCTTGGGATAGAGTCAGTTCCCCTTTACGCGAAGTTTTACACAAATTTTTTTTTTGCTCGGTTTTATGTTTAGAGACTCGTGTTATTGGTGCGGCTCATGTGTTTGATTCTTTGCCTCAATGAGTAAATTTGTTCATTCTGGCGGTTGCCCCTTGAATGCAGCCCCAAGTCGAAGTTAAGAGCTTTCCCGCCGAGCCGATTTTGCCGCTCGCGGCGAACAGCGAGGGCACGTACATTGTTGGCGGGGGCGTTTCTGGCGAAATTTACCTATGGGAGGTGAATTTTTTTGTATCGTTTGTCTTTTATTTTTTCTCGATAAAGACGGGGAAGAAGGATCTTTTCTTTTGGGTGTTACAAATTGATGTGATTTTGGCGTGGTTTTGCTGATTTATTGTAGGTTCCAACTGGTAAACTGCTTAGAAAGTGGCATGCTCATTATAGGGGTGTTACTTGCTTGGTATTTTCGGACGACGATTCGCTCATAATCTCCGGGTCGGAGGACGGCTCTGTTAGAGTCTGGTCCCTTTTCATGTACTCAGCTTTATCCTTTTTCCCACCGTGTTAATGATATTCAATTAAATGGAAGACGAGAGTTTAATGTCTATCCTTAAAGAGGTTTTGTTAATTTGCTCTCTCTCAAGGACTTTTTTTTCGCAATCAGGATATTTGATGATATGAGGAGGCAAGAAGCAACTCATCTTTATGAGCATAGTTTTACTGGGCATGCACTGAGAGTAACTGATGTTGTCATCGGTTATGGTGGATCGAATGCAATTATTGTCTCAGCATCAGAGGATCGAACATGCAAGGTGTGTCGTTTTTTTTGTCCCCAACATTTGTTTCTGGAGAAATGTGGAAATGTTATAAGTGGACACAATAAATGTTGCCCTGTCTTTGGCATGTTAGGATCTTAATATAAGATCTCTTATGTAAGCACTTTCTGCTCTTTTTTACAACTGCTAGTTTGTCCATCTGATTCCCATAATTTACTGCTGCCCAAGAAATACTAGGAATTTAATTATATGGATCAAAGGTACCTTCAAGTGTGGGTTAAAGTCATTTACTATGGTCAACAGACAACGGAAAGGATGAAAGATATATTTTCTTGGAGCAAGACGTATCTAATTTGTCATGGATGTTCATTTTTATTTGCTGATAAATGCGTGCTATTTTATTTACTACTTTCATGAACATAATGTTTTTCTGTTTGTTGTTTATGTAGGGTTTTTTTCCATTTTCTTTTTTTTTTTTATAAATTTTTTTTGTGAATTCTTTAACAGTTGTGTGTCAAACTACATCTTTAAGGCAATTATTCTGATGTGCACCTTGTTCCAGGTATGGAGTCTATCTAAGGGGATACTGTTAAGAAACATTGTGTTTCCATCAATGATATATGCAATTGCATTGGATCCTGGGGAACATGTCTTCTATGCTGGCAGCAGGGATGGGAAGATATATGTTGCTGCTCTAAATGCTGAGAGCAGCCCTAATGATGCTTATGGAATGTACATAATTGGTTTGTTGGCTGATCACAGGTTTGTCATTATCCTATGGAGCCTTTTTCTTTGCTTTTCCACATCATAAGATATGATAGAAACTGTTGTGAACCACTCGGTACACCTAGAATATCATCTTCTATGGGATCAGCTCAAGATAATTATTTTGGGTTTCTGTGGCATTCATGTTAATTGTTTGAGATATTCAAAAACTTGACCATGTCGATACGAACCTCACAAGTAGTGTGTACCAGTATTCATATAAAATTGCCATTATCAAGGATTCTTTTGGTCTTGGATGCATAGGACTTCTTATCAATTTGTATCATAAAACTTGTGGAGCCTATTTGAATTGTGTACTGACAATTCTCTCCACTGCTTTTGAACAGCAAAGCTGTCACCTGTCTGGCTTACAGTAACAGCTTAAACCTAATAGTTTGTGGCTCAGAGGATGGTATGGTTCGAGTTTCGGACCCTAAAAGTGGTAACGTCGTACGGATGTTTCGACATTCGAAAGGTGTAATTCTCTAATTTTACAGCTATTTCATCGCTTTCAGATGTGTTTATGCGCTTCAACTTGCTATAAGTTCAAGATTATGTGTTGTATAGTCTAGTCCAAACCTTCTATGTCCAATTATATTGCATATTCTATGATGTTTATTCATGTACTCAGGTCCTAAATATCTAAGTGGTAACAGTCCCTTGTGAATAAAGAGCAGATGATCCTTCTGCTGCCTTATCTGCCTTGGAGATTCGAGAATTGTTGTTATCGACATTTTATAGTTCTCTCTGCCTTGACACAGGACCTATTAACAATGTCCAAATTGTGAGGAAGCAATTAGGTTTCGGCCCTCGTATAGTTGCAAATCCACAGGGCTCCTCAAGAAGGCATGGATCCTTGTTATCCCCACCTCTAGAAAAATACACAAATTCAAGTGATGATGATTCAGACTTCAGAACAGTGGTTAGTCTGCATGGCGCTAGCTATGAACCTCTAGAGAGTCCACACATCAGTTCAAATGCGATGGATCAACAAATTGAAGAACTACAGGTTTGATATTCATGTCTATTCTTAAATTGTTAGGATGAGAGGTTTCAGGGTTGATATATAAACACAACCACAGTTGCACGTCATGGTATAAAGTACTTTTCAGAGTGACTGCTTATGCAAATCGGGTATGTTACAAACGTGGTAACTCAACTTTCCACCTACTTTCAAATAGGTCACTAAACTTCCAATTTTAAAATCTAGGTTACCCAACTTTGATTTTTCCTTTAATCAGAGCACTCTAATGATTCATTGATCAAAATCTTGCCAGAAATCTGAGTGGAGGCTTTCTTCGCTTGTATCAATCTTACGTGTTCACTGAAAGTGTCTCGATGGACGTGTGACTCTATTACACTTTAAATATTCAACTCTTAATAATTTTCATTGCAGCCCATTCAATTTTAGTTAACTTATAATAAATTTCATGACGTACCACAACACTTAAGCTTCCAAGTCAGTTCAATGTTAACTTAGATTTTTATCAGCCACACAAGCTGCTGAATCAAACTAGTTTTTGGTGATTAAAAGCAAAACCTGGGTCAAGACACTCATATGTTGAAATTGAAAGTTGAGTGGCCTGTTGAAAGGAAGTTAAAAATTGGGTGACTTTGAATGAATTTACCTGCATTTATATGCTTTGGTTAATTAAAGTGATCACTCTAAAGGAGAATTCTAGTGATAATTGATCGGTCAAATTTATTCATCATGGCTGATTTGAGGTTGAAGTTTTGGAGTAGGAGAAGATGGAGAAGGAATCAAAACTGTGGATATTAACAAGGCATGATGTAAAGAAGGATACTTCAAATTATTGTGCTTCATAACTTCCCAAAGGCCGAAGTATTCCTTATCCAATGTCCATAGATTTGACTCCTTATTAATTGTCTCTTTAGAATTTTCAATCTCAATGGGTCAGCCATAATGAACTAATTTTTTTAATGAATCACTAATATTCTCTGAGACTGTTCACCTATAATTAACCATATTAATTTGGGTAAATTTCACTAAAAGTTGCTCATTTTTTAACTTTTTGCCTCTCAATATTGAATTTATACTTAAAACTAACTCAACTTCAATTTTGCTTTCAGTTAGGTCACTCTAGTGATAGGTTGACCAAAACTAGTTGGAAACCTGATGTGGCCTACTTGAGTGGTTGATTGTAAACTTATCTACTTCTAATTGGTCGTTGCCGCTTGAGTGCATTGATATGTCATTGAACTTAAGGAAAGTTGATTGGTCTATGATGACAGTTATTTAAAATCGAGTGACCTACAATACTAGTAATCCAAAGTTGAGTGACTAACAGCTACAGTAAAAGTGCAATTGAGCCTTACACATCCACCTTGGCACTTCTGGCGTACACAAAAATGAATATAGGCCACATAAGCTGCCACTTAATTTTGTGTTTCTAGATTTTAATCAACTGATCACCAGTGATATAATTGAAAGTAAAACTGAAGCTCAATGACCTAGATGTTACAACTAACAGTTAACAGTTGAGTGACTACCAGTGAAGTTTCTCCCAGGGTAATAGTATCATGCGATGTACATGATTGAGTAATTCTTTTGAGCATAATCTGTTATTAGATGCATTGGAGGATATGGGCTCAAGTGTTCTGTGATGTACTTAATTAGTTCACGTGAGAATAAAATCTGTTACGAGTTATGAGATGCATTGGCACTCCTCTCTAACCTCTTGCCATGGCTTCTTCAGAGACAATCTTCTTCCTATGCTGCTGAGATGGAGCTAGAGAGGCTAAAGGTTGATTGCAAAAGATCCTTCCAAATGGTTGAAAGATGGAAGCAAATGTATGAAAACTTGCATCAATTTTGTGTAGACGAGCTTTTGGACATAGATCAAGCTGAGCCAACTAAAGCAGGTTTTACCTGAAACAAAATTTTGTCCCTTTTTTTTATACAATTTTACAAAATTTCATGGGAATGATAGGATCGGCATACGTAATGAGAGGGCTTTCTCTATTACGCCCTGCTGCGTATTATGTTATTTGCTGTGTGTTCCTCAAGGAACTATGCTCAGCTTATTGTTTTGATTTCTGAAGATAGAAATGCTCTTCCTCATAAATTAAGGTTCTCGGTTTCTCTTGGGAAATACACTGTATCGAAAAGAACTGAAGAAATTCCAGTGTATCGGGCCAAAGATTTTAGTTCGGTTCATTTCAGTTTTATAAAAGAAATCCATGTCGAAATGAAAAATTAATAAAAAAAAATCTACATAGAATGACACTCAAATGATCGATGTTACTTCGATGTGGCACTTAAGTGAGCAGAAAAAAAAAGTAATAGCACTCAAGTGAGCGTCGTACGAAAGTTATGGCACTCCTGCTATTCTTATCCCAATTGGCATAATGATACAAACAGTCCCTGAACTTTAACTCAATATGCAATTTGATCTCTGAACTTTTAATTTGTTCAATGTAGTCCCTAAATTTTAGGCTAATGTTCAATGTGCTTCCTAAATTTTTAATTTGTTCAATGTCATCCCTGAACTTTTGGTACATGTTCAATTCAGTCTTTGAACTATATGAAAATGTTTAATGCACTCCCTGAACTTGAATTAATGGAAATGACTGCATTGAACATATTCATATGGTTCGAAGATTGAATTGAATATATACCAAAAGTTCAAGGATGACATTGAACAAATGAAAAGTTCAAGGACCACATTGTATATTGGGTTAAAGGTTAGGGACTACATTGAACAAATTAAAAATTCATGGATCAAATTACACATTGGATCAAAGTTTAGGGACTGTTTGTGTCATTTTGCCTATCCCAATCATTTTTATTTAATCCATGCAGCTATCCCTTTGAACTTTACCATAAGGTCACAAGTAGTCAAATGCATTGCATTAATTAATTCTTTATAAGACATATGTATAAAACTAGGTATGAATGAAGCCTATTGCATATAAAATCGAAAATATTTTAAATTTAATTTTCAACAAAGATCGAAATTAAAATATCATCAAAACAATTATGGAGTATTAATTATAAATTACCTCATTCACCTCTCCTTTTTCCCAACCATCGCACAACCCTTGATCCTAGAAACCCATCATACTCTCTCCTTATTTTACTTGCCGGTGTGCAGAATTCTCGATCGAATGGCCGAGATTTGATGGTGTTGTATCTCAAGAGTCGATCATCGGGTTTCAACAAATTGGTATCATCTGAAAGCTCTCTCCAAATCATACCCAATTGTATTATCCAATCAAATTTCAAATAGTTTAGACCTCAAGTTAATTTTGGTCGAACCGTGAAAATATTAGGTGAAAAATGAGAAATATGCAGGATTCTTGATTTTTGCAATGATCCATACAAGTGGGGACTGATGGTGCTTAATGATATAGTGCCTCTAAATGGAAAATTAACTAAAAAAATCCTAAACCTATTATATAGATACCAATTCAATTTTAAACCTTTCAATTTAATTAATTTAGTCCTAAACCTTTTAATAATTTGTCAATGTACTCTTTTCGATCAATTTTGGCCGAAAAACCCTAACGTGAGCATCGGTGTGCACGTTGAGAAGATCTTGAGAAGATCTCCTTGAGAAGATCTCCTTCCCACCTGTCCTCCATATGTTTGAACTACTCAAACGTGCACCGCTCAGCCTTGAACTGCTTATTCTAAGTGCATCATTAGTGTCCGTAATCACCCACTCAACCTACACAAATGCTTCACTGAATTGTAATTTTCATGCAAGAAGGCCCTTGTCCATAGTCAGTTTCCGACTAGCATCTCCCCCGTTTTGTGTCAACACGAAATTAAAGAAAATCAACCTTAAGTTCATAATAATAGTGATCACAATCATCCAACAACATGGTATACTAAAGCGGCCTCCCAAGTCTTAACCGTTTGACTCGTTTCTTTTATCCACCAGAGATGCCTCTTATCATTTCATCTCCCACCATCGTGTTGCGCAGATTTCAAGTCCCAGAATCTAAAATTAAGAATTGAAAAAAGAACATAAATTTTGGCTGTGTTCATTTCCGGAAAAATATTTTTTCGGAAAATATTTTCCCCGTTTTCCGGTGTTCGGGGGCGGAAAATGTTTTCCATGGGAAAACATTTTCCCACCCCACCCCCAAACCCTTCACAATTTTAAGGAAAATGACTTCCGCTTCTGAGAAGCGGAAGTCATTTTCCAGAAGTATGAAGCTCTGCCTCAGACTTCTTCCTATTTTTTTTTTTTTGTTGCTGCTGCTTCTTCTACCTCAGCCAGTCGGCGGCCGGCGACGGCGACCGGCGAGCTCAGCCTGGCCAGAGCCTCGCCGATGACCTCGGGCGAGGTTCGCCGACGTCCGGCGACCTGGGCGAGGTTCGCCGACGTCCGGCGAGGCCCCAGCTCGCACGGCCGGCGAGCTCGGGCCTCGCCAGATCCGGCGACCTGGGCGAGGTCGACCTCGCCCAGGTCGCCAGATCCGGCGACCTCAGGCGAGCCTCGACCATGCCCAGGTCGCCGAATCGGGCGACCTCACCCAGGTCACCGGCCAGGCGAGCTGGGGCCTCGCCGGCCTGTGGCAACGCTCGAGCTCGCCTCTGGCCGGTCGCCGGACGTCGGCCGTGGCCGTGGCCGGCGACCCGCCGGAGAAGAAGAAGGAAAAAGAACACAGTCGGCGGCGATCATTGCCGAATACCGGAAAATATTTTCCGAAACTTTTTCATATTTCAGCCGAACACAGGAAAATTGTGTTCTGGAAAAATATTTTCTAGGAAAATGATTTCCGGGAAAACATTTTTCAAAAACACAATATTTTCCGCCAAACGAACGGAGCCTTTAAGTCTGTGTTTTCCCCTTTTTTTCATGGGAAAAAAAATAGAAGAATGGACTAATGATGTTTTGACTTTCTTGATTATACCTTGAGTATATAATCGGTAACAACAGTAGTCTCCTGTCCTGCAGAAGATTAAGGTCAATAGAGGCACTTACAGGCATTAATAAATGTTTTTGACCGTGTTTTGCACATTCAGAGAAAGAAAGTGCATGGATGAAAAATCTGCAATCAGAAAGCTGTTCCCCAGTTCATTAGTATGATCATTTCTATGTCAGGATCGGGTTTGATATATGCCTCCTTCTATCTTCTTGATGACTCTTCTAGCATCTCTGAAATACAATAGTAGTATTAAACCTCTTCATCCTTGCTCTTTTATGGAGTTTTTTTTTTTGGCCAGAACTAAATTGTTCATTGATATCTAGTAAAATCAGAGCCCACTTTCGGGGTCTCAAAACAGAGCACATCTCTAAGTTTGACATAGTCAGTTGCTCTTTCATAGAGTTAATCCTTCAAATTATGATGGCGCAGAAAAATAGCCCCAATTCACCGTAATGGGGTCCGACACCTTGACACCTGGCCGATAAAGCTAGAGTTTCCCTAACAGTCGTTCCTCCGATGTGGAGATCATATTGACTTATATAGGCCGATGTCCTCGCGATACAAATTCTTCCATCCAGTGTCCGTTGTATGTGATTCTTCCCGAAAACTCCAATTCACCAGCTCTGTGCGACTTGCACACCAAAACACTTCACTCTTAGACTTCATTTATTTCGCGAAATATGTTACATATTTAGAAAAAATTTTCCAAGAAGCCATTTTTCAATAAAATGACAATATTTTCTGCTGTTTGATATGGAAAATCTAATTTAATTTTCTTGAGGAAAATTACCCAAAAATTAAAAAATATTAATTATTGTTATTTTAATTTTTCCTTCTTCTTCGGCCGGTCATTGGCTGACCGACCACGAGGACGGCCGGCAAGTGGCCATAGGCGAGGGACGAGCTTGCTCGAAGCTAGGGAGCTCGAAACTCGCCAGAGACTCGAGTGAGACTCCACCTCTCTGAGATACCCATTGTAACAAGTCTTCACTATATGCACCAAGCAATCGCCTTGGATCAAACTGCAAGGCGATCGTATCACTGCTAGTGCAACCCTAAGCAGGTCGAGCTCAATGGCCTCCTCCCCGTTCTCACTTGACTCATGCCTTGCAATAGCCTCAAAATCAAGCCCCAGCATCCACTAGTGCCCGCCTAATCACCGTAGTTGGCGCCGTCACTGATCTCTGCATGGATGAGGTTGAGCGAGAAGAGCTTGAAGGCGCACTCGAGTGCGAGCTCCACGATCTTGCCGTAGGCGGATTCGAGAGCACGGATCATGTGATGGAGGACGAAATCAGCATCGGAGAGGAAGGATCAGCCGAGGCGGGGTTGGGACCGGTGGCGGAGTTGAAGGGGATGGTCTCGAGCTTGTCGAGGCTAGATTTGCAGGCGGAGACAATGTGGGAATGCACTGAGGAGGAGGAGAAGAAAATGAATTCCTCTTTTTTTTTCCTCACTTTCAAAAGTATTTTTTCCATTAACCGAAAAATGTTTTTCTTAACTATTTTATTTTCTGTTAACCAAACATCGCAAAATTCAGAAAATTTTTTTTTGAAATTTTTTTTTTGCAAAATAAACGAAGCCTAAGCCTCGATTGTCCAGGAATTAATGTTTAGTTTTGAGCTTTCTTTGGACTGCAATAGAAAAGGACAATGGGATGAGTAAAATGGCCAAATGACATAGTCAGTTGGGCTTAATCAGTTTTAGTGAATCTTGGGTTTTATTTGGTCTTATTTAACAGAGTTTGACTAGATAGATTGGGCTGGGTATAGTTATGAAAGCAAAGAGGGTTGTAGTGTGGGCTTGATGCAATTTTAATAAAAGTGGGCTTGTCATAAGTATGTCCTAAGTTGGGCTTTGTTAGGTTAGAATTGGAAAGGAGGCCAGATATAAAGGCCCGAATCGCTTCCATAGCCAAGACCCGCAGGGTCCAGGTGAAACCTGCTTTCAGACTACGCTCAAGGGCCCAGCCCGAGTCCCTATATTTCCGAATTTTAAAATTAATTAAAAAATAAATAAATCGAAAAAGTATTAAAAATTTAGA